TAGCTAGATCTAAAGATACGCGTGTAGCAAGTAACACAAACCTGCCTGTAGGAAGATTCCGTCTTTTACAGAAAATCAAAAGCAAACAGAAATAATCACGTTGCAAAAAGATTAACGAGGATACACTAATTATGGATGAAATCAGCTTTGTGACTTTCATCTGTAAGATTGTGAATGTGGCAATGCTATACCAAGTGTTAACAGAAGAGAAATATGGTGCGGAGATTTTAATGCACATAATAATCTATGGGGAAGTAATCACACAGATAAAAATGGAGAATTAGTTGAAGAATTAATGGATGAGAGATCACTTGTTTGTCTTAATGATGGAAGTGGTACTAGGGTAGATGCTACAAGAAACTTAGTATCATGCCTAGACCTTACCTTAGTCTCTGGAAATATGAGCAATTCATGTGAATGGAAAATATTGAATAACATTAACACAGGGAGTGATCACTATATGATATTATGCACAATTAATTTTGAACTACATGTACAGGAAGGTTACAGAATAGAGAGATGGTGTTTTTCTAAAGCGGAATGGGATAAATTTAGAGTATGCTGCAAGGAATCTGCTGAAACTATATCAATGGAAGGAGATGTAGATAGCTGTACTAGTGCAGTGATGTGTTCAATTATTAATGCTGCATCAACTTGTATACCAAAAAGCATAGTGAATGGAAAAAGAAAAATGGTTCCATGGTGGAATAGTGAATGTAAAAATGCAATAAAAGAAAGAAATCGTGCATTTAGAGTCCTAAGGAAGCATTTGAGTCAAGACTTGACTGACTGATTACCAAAGAAAGAAAGCTAAGGCACGGAAAATAATTAAGTCATCAAAGAAGAATGCATGGAGACAGTTCTGTTCAGCTATTGGTAGAGAAATAGATCTGAATGATGTATGGTCAATGATTAAAAAGATGACTGGCAAAAGGAAATCTGTTAAAATCCCTGTGTTGGTAGATGGAGAATACTTGGCAATAACAAACAAGGAGAAAGCTGACTTATTAGGTAAGAAGTTTGCAAGTATTCATAGTGGAAGTCACTTAGATGAAGTGCATAAGCAACGGAAAGAGGATATTATTAGGAAATGTTATGATGTATTAAGGAAAAAGGACACTGACGAATCAACACTAGACATGGAATTCACAAAGCATGAGTTGAAAATGGCCTTAGAGAAAAGTGGTTATATGGCTCCAGGGCAAGACCAACTGTGTTATTATGCTATGTTTAGACCATTACCAGACAAATTTATGGAAATTATATGAATGCTGTTTAATAAGATCATATACTCACCATGGCTGCATTTATTTGATCAAAAATACAGTAAAAACAGTAATACTGTGAAATATTACTACAGTTTAAAGTCCCCATGAAATCAAAATTAAAAGTTTTTTTGGGTGTTAGTATCAATATGTTAGTCTTAAGGTTATCTATAAGGCAGTGTGCTCCAAAACAGTGACAACATTCGCATTTAGAAGATATCCACCTTTTTCCTGGAGGCGCTGCTGTAAAAACGATTATGGGTATAAGTTCCGCCGGAAGTACTAGCAGCATTGACTGAGTTGCGCCGACGGTGAAATGTTTTGTTTATGTGCGGTTTGTTTTTCAGGCGGGAATATATTAAAATGGCATTACAAAGCTCTGGAACAACCTGTGCTGTCCGTGGATGCACTTGTAACCAGACGAAGCTTAATTTGTGGCTTAAAGAACAGTGCTATATACACAAACCTAAAGTTAGAGCGGAATGCACTTGCGAGAGAAGGTACAGTTTTCATCGCCTTCCTATAGAAGACAAAGCTAAGCGAAACTGGCTCAAAAACCTGAACTTAAAGAAGCCCCCCAAAACGCTTTACGTATGCTCTTTTCATTTTGTGGAAAAAAAACCGACAGAGGACAACCCATACCCTACTCTTTTCCTCGGTTATGAGAAGCCTCCGGAAAAGAGACGCCGACTCCTCAGGAGGGATGACAGTTCATTCTCAACAGGCAACTTTACTCACTAAGCGTTACACAAATTTCAACGTTTGACTGGAAAACATGATTAATAGAAAAGGGTCGTTTATACTTGCTGGCTAGCTAGCTAGCTTATCACAAATGTGCATGATTTCCTTGCTCATTTCTGCAGTACTCATTCTTTTCATACTGTATTGTAAAGTGACTACCAAATTAGTTTTATCTATCAGTTACAGGTATTCATTTAAATTACACGCATTATGCATTTGTAGCATGCATTTGTTTTTCTGTGTTTTAGCTATATTAATTTGCAAATTTAATATAGTGTGTCATCCTAACACCACACACACAATACATTACTCAAATGTATCTTATGGTAAAATATATTACACATAAATGACTAATTCCTGTGATAATTTGCGTAGCTATTAGTCATTTATGTGTAATATATATATAT